CCCCACTGACCCACAGGGTCCTCAAGGTTTCCAAGGTCCCCCCGGTGAACCCGGAGAGCCCGGTGCTTCTGTGAGTCCTGCCACCTCCTCCTCCAGCCTGACATCCCGTGGGGATGGGGACAAGGCTGCCCGTTCCCAGCCCTGGCCGCGCTGTCCCCGCTCCGGGGCATCTCAGCCGGGATCCATGGGAATGGGGCTGCCAGAGCCTGGTGCTGCCCAGCCTGGGTGGCAGGGTGACAGGGGACAGCCGTCACCCATAGCATCTTCACCCCTGCCCTGCATCTCTCCTAGGGTCCCATGGGTCCCCGTGGTCCCGCTGGCCCCCCTGGCAAGAACGGAGATGATGTAAGTGGCCGGTGGATGGGATCTCCCCCCCTGCCCCAGTTTGGGGCCTGGTGGCCCTGCTAGTCCCCCCAAAGACGAGCAGGAGCCACCTGGCTTGGGGACCTGCCACCAACCCGGTGTCCTTCTCCTTAGGGTGAAGCTGGAAAGCCCGGCCGTCCCGGAGAGCGCGGTCCCCCCGGCCCCCAGGTGAGATGCTCCCCACCGGGGCGCCCAGGAGGGGACACCCCCACCATGACCTGCCTGGTGGCAAAGCAAGGATGTGACACCAGCTGCCTGCCCCCCTCCTGAGAACGGGGGTAAGGGGGTGCGGGGACAGACCCCCTTCGAGCATCTCCATCACCGCCTGCCCTTTTCTCCTTAGGGTGCGCGTGGTCTCCCAGGAACCGCCGGTCTGCCGGGCATGAAGGGTCACAGAGTGAGTCCCTCCTCCCACCACTGCAAGATTTAGGGGAAGGGGGAGCCTGACCTCACCAAGGGATCCCCTCCTGACCCCTCCTCCCCTCCCTCTCTTCTCTCTCCTGCTCCCCAGGGCTTCAGTGGTCTGGATGGTGCCAAGGGTGAGCCTGGTCCTGCTGGTCCCAAGGTGAGGAGCGGTGGCAGCATCACCCCTGTCCTCCCGGTAAAGTCACCGCTGCTTCCTCTGGAGCAGGTGCCTCAACGTTATCCTTTCTCCTAGGGTGAGCCCGGCAGCCCCGGGGAGAACGGTGCTCCTGGGCAGATGGTGAGTGCTGGAGTCCCTGGGGACGGTGGTGGGGCCGTGGCCTCGGGCAGCCAAAGGGGACAGGCATGGGGGGCAAGACGTGATGGGGAGACAGCTCATCCTCAGGGATGCATCCCCAGGGATGCCCCAAGGAATGGGGTGAGGAGGGGGTTTAACCCCCCTGGAAATGTCCCTGTGTGCAGGAACAGGGGGGGTGCAGGGATGGGAGGAGGCTCTGAAAGGGGAAGGTGTCTCTTCTGGTGACCCAAATGTGTCTCCTCCTGTCCTCAGGGTCCTCGTGGGCTTCCCGGCGAGAGAGGCCGTCCCGGTCCATCTGGCCCCGCTGTGAGTATCTGGTTTGGGCAGGGCTGAGCATCCCCTTCCCTGGGGTGTGTGGGGGGGCTGGGGGCCGCCTCTCCTGCCGGTGGGCATCGCTAACGGGTGCCTCCTCTCCCGCAGGGTGCTCGCGGTAACGACGGTGCTCCTGGTGCTGCCGGTCCTCCCGTAAGTAACCCCCAAACCCATCCACCCTCCACCAGCACCTGACATCAGCTTCTCCGGAGGGAGATCCCACTGCAGCTCCACCACGACTGGGATATCCTGGCCAGGGGCAAGAGCTCTGCTGCCCAGAAAACCCACCAGCACCAGATGTGTGAGGTGGGATCCCTCCTCTGACACGTGCCCTCTCTCCCATCTAGGGTCCAACTGGTCCCGCTGGTCCCCCTGGCTTCCCCGGTGCTGCTGGTGCTAAGGTAGGACCTGCTTGACCATCTCCTCCCAGGTGGCATCTCCTGGGCTGGGAGAAACAGGTGGAAACTGGGAACAGGAGGTGAAGGAGAAGGACTGAGGCGTCGAATGGGTTCCCCACATGTCCCAAAAATGAGAAAGCCCAACGTGCGGTGGGCTCACCGCTGCCTGGGACAGTGGGGCAGGCAGGGACGTCCCCAGCCAAGTCCCATGGGCATCTCTCCTGGCTTTGCCTCCATGCGGAAGGAGCTGCAGACAGAGGGGGAAATCGGCCGTGTCAGGGGTTTCAGGGCAGCCCTCGTGCTCACGGCTCTTCCTCCCTCCTCTTCCTCCCCAGGGTGAAACCGGTCCCCAAGGAGCTCGTGGCAGCGAAGGTCCCCAAGGTGCCCGTGGTGAGCCAGCCAAGTCCCATGGGCATCTCTCCTGGCTTTGCCTCCATGCGGAAGGAGCTGCAGACAGAGGGGGAAATCGGCCGTGTCAGGGGTTTCAGGGCAGCCCTCGTGCTCACGGCTCTTCCTCCCTCCTCTTCCTCCCCAGGGTGAAACCGGTCCCCAAGGAGCTCGTGGCAGCGAAGGTCCCCAAGGTGCCCGTGGTGAGCGAGTGGCATCCGATGGCTCCTTGTCCTTTGGCCTCATGTTCTGCCGGCCTCGGCATAACCCTCCTCTTCCTCTTTCTCTCCACAGGGCAACCCCGGTGCTGACGGTCAACCTGGTGCCAAGGGCGCAACCGTGAGTGTCCCTCAGCCCTGGCCTGGCTCTGGGGTGGGGGGCCGTGCTGCTCCCTCACCACCTCGTCTGCGTCTTCTAGGGTGCTCCTGGCATTGCTGGCGCTCCCGGCTTCCCCGGTGCCCGCGGTCCCTCCGGACCCCAGGGTCCCAGCGGTGCCCCCGGTCCCAAGGGTAACAGCGTGAGTATCCCCGGACACCTCCGTCCTCCTCCTCCCTGGGCTGAATCCCTTCTTCTGCTCCAGCAAGCTGCTGTCCCACCTGGAGATGTCTCCTCTGGCATCCCCAGTCTCCTCCAGCCCTGCGAGTGCAGGATGGTGCTGGGGGGGGGCTGACAGATGCTGAGCATCCCCCCCTCCTGCTGAGGGGTTGGGCAGGAGGCGGCTCAGGGCTCCCTTTGCTCATCAGTCTGGTGTGAAATGGCTTTTCCTTCTTCTCCCCTTCCACCTCCAGGGTGAACCCGGTGCTCCAGGCAACAAGGGAGACACTGGTGCCAAAGGCGAACCCGTAAGTGACGCCCCCCACGTCTCCTCGGGGGCTTGGCCCCGCCTGGCTCCCCTGCAGCCCATGGGTGCTCATCCCTTCGCCTCCTTCCCCAGGGTCCCGCTGGTGTCCAAGGTCCCCCCGGCCCAGCTGGCGAGGAAGGCAAGAGAGGAGCTCGTGGTGAGCCCGGCCCCGCTGGGCTTCCTGGCCCCGCCGGCGAACGTGTGAGTAGGAGCAGTCCCTGTCCCACCCACGTCATGTCCCTCTCCCCATCCCCGTCCTCCTCCCATCTCCCAAAGTCCAGTGTCTGAGCCTCATGGGTGCTCGGGGTCAGGCACCCACCATGGTGACCTCCCCAGCCCCTTCCAATGCCCCACCGAGGTCTCCAGTGGAGCGTCTCAGCAGGGACACCAACCTGCTCCCGCTGGTGGCCAGGTCCCGCGTCGGCGCATCCCTCCCCTGCACCCCCAACCCCCCCGAGGTCACTCCCTGTCTCCACACTGACCCCTCTCGTGTCCCTCGCAGGGTGCTCCCGGCAGCCGTGGTTTCCCTGGCGCTGATGGCATCGCTGGTCCCAAGGTAGGTGCCCACGTCTCCCTCCTGCCTGTCTGGGCAAGAAAGTTGTGTCCTCAATGGCCACGGTGGGGACACCGAGCATTTGTTACCCATCCCCACGCGGTGGCAAGGCCAGTTCTGTGCCACTGCCACCCGTGACGGCTCCGGTCCCCATCCCTGGGTGATGCCCTGCAGCTGAGGTAATGTCTGTCCCTTCTCCCACCCTTCCCCAGGGTCCCCCCGGTGAGCGTGGCTCCCCTGGCCCCGTTGGCCCCAAAGGATCCCCTGGCGAAGCTGGACGCCCCGGGGAACCCGGCCTCCCCGGTGCCAAGGTGAGCGCGGCAGGGTGGTGGAAAAAAACTACGAGGAGCAGTGAGCCCCGCCAGCACGGCCACCGCGCCGGTGGCCCTGCCTCCAGGGATGGACTCCAGCTGCTGTGGTCTCCATGCTGGTGGAGAAGATGCTTTCCAGGAGGCTCACGTTGGCTGGAGCATCTCTTGGGGGACCTGAGCTCCTCACCCAACTCGTGTTCCCTTGCAGGGTCTGACTGGAAGCCCTGGAAGTCCTGGTCCCGATGGCAAGACTGGCCCCCCTGTAAGTTGCACCCTCCGATGCCCCGCTCCTCCCTTGGCTCGCCACGGGCTCT